TCACCTCCAGGGACAGCTCTCCGTCCAGGCAGCATCAGTCTTTCCAAGAGCATTTATTGAGCTCCTCCTGTGTGCCAGGCATGTTGCCAGACTGTCTGACTCAGACAGACGAGACGTGGGCCCTGCCCCAGAACATCGAGAACTAACACTATCTTTCACTACTGGTCAGATCACCCAGCCCAGCTGGGGAAATACTTTCTTACCTCTTCCAGGCTGGTTCCAGAGTGTTCTGAAGTCACATTACCACCCCCCACCCACCGCCACCACCGTGTTATGGGTTGAACTGTGTCCCCTCACCCAAATTATGTTGGAAGTCCCAACCCCTGGGACCAATGACTGTGAACTTATAGAGCCTTTGCCAATGTCATCAAGTCCAATGAGGTCATTAGGGTGGGTCCTAGCGCAGAATGACTGGTATCCTTGGAAGAAGAAGAAGAAAAGGCCCACAAGGGAGGACAGCCATGTGAAGAGGGGAACAGAGCTAGGCCTCAGCGGCCACAAGCAGAAAAAGTCTGGGGCTGCCAGACTCACACCCATGCCTCATGACCCATGCTGGCCCCTTCCGTTCTCTCCCATCTGTTTCCCTTTGCAGGTCCAACTCCTTCAGGACAGTCCTACCTGCCCCCAGGCCACAGTGTTCAGAGCAGCAGGACCCTCTCTCCATGATCAGGGCCTGGGGCTGGGATTTGAGCAGCCAGAATAGCAGTCACGCTCCTCAAACATGGTCAACCGAGGGCTCATGTGGCACCTTCCAGCCCTTTCTAGGAACTTGGGTCCTGTTTTTGACCCATGTCAGTGTCGCCAGTTTACACAGCCTGACCCTCAGTGGGTCCTAGGCATCAATGATTGGGGCTTTTGAATTGAACCCAGCAGGTCTCTCTCCTGTGACTTGGAGAGGAGTAGGCAGCAACCCTCTCCCCAACAGCCCACATGCCTCTGAAGCCCCCTCCACAGCTCTGCCCCAGACCCAGGCTGCACAGCCTAATTATAAGAAACTGGCCGTGCAGGGGTTCCTGGGGGGCTCAGTTGGTTGTGTCTGACTCTTGATTTCGGCTCAGGTCATGATCTCAGGGGTCCTGGGATCGGGCCCTGAGTCAGGCTCAATGCTCAGCGGGGAGTCTGCTTGGGGATTCTCTCTCCTTCTCCCTCTGCCCCTCCCCCAACTCACACGTGCTCGCTCTCTCTTTTTCTCTCCCTTTCTCGCAAATAAATAAATAAATCTTAAAAAAAAGAGGGGCACCTGGGTGGCTCAGTTGGTTGGACATCTGCCTTCAGCTCAGGTCATGGCCCCAGGGTCCTGGGATTGAGCCTAGGGTCAGGCTTCCTGCTCAGTGGGGAGCCTGCTTCTCCCTCTCCCTTTGCCCCTCCCCCCTGCTTGTGCGCTCTCTCTCTCTCTCTCTCAAATGAATAGATTAAAATCTTTAAAAAAAATAAAGGTGATGTGTCAGTTTTCCGTATTTATAAAAAAAAAAAAAAAGAAAGAAACTGGCCACATACACCATCATCAGCTTTTTCCTCCCCTTGGCAGGTAACCAGTAAGCTTTTCAGCCAAACACTGAAGAAAACCCTGAGCCAATGAAGAGTTCACAGTGTGGCGCCCACTTGGCAGTCCCAATAACTCACGCCTTGTTTATTCTCACCAATGCTCACTCTTATCATACAGCATGTGTTTCAACCACTCTGCAAATGTCATCTGTCCAGAAAGAGAAAGCGGTTGTTTTTTCCTTACCGTGCAGGGGATGGAGCTCCCTTACAGATTGTTAACATTATGTTGAAAGGAGAAGACAGGTAACTCAGACGCTGAACATGGAGCATGTACATGACTGGCCTTGGGATTCCCCTGTCGCAGGGAAAGGGGTGGGAGACAGCAGAGATGTGTGGTGGTGTTGGTGTTATCAGATGGAAAAAGAGGCTAGGGGTTGTGGTTTATGTTGTTCAGCAAGCCCACTGTTTCTATCTAGGTTGCACGTTCATCTGAGGACTTGGGAGGGGCTGGTGGTGGTTATATTGAAGCCGAGTCCCCACCACCTCATAAGTCCTCCCCCCTCCATGGTACCAATTCTGGTGGCTCCTGGTGGCCCTGTGTCTTCATGTGTGCCGCAGAGGTGGGAGACCTTAGCTGCCCCTCCCTGGTCACTCCACAGAGCTGTCCAGAGTGCTGAAGTGCAGCCCACTGCGGGATACGCAGGCCCCGTCCTCAAGGCACCCAAGGCTGCAGACTTTCACTTGCTCAGAGCTAGGGGTGGGCTTTGCTTTGGCTTTTATCCAAGCAATGCATCGAGGAGTAGCTTCCTCCACAGAAAAAGTAGGGACAGTGGGCCCCTGGCAAGGGGGAGAGCATGTTACATTTCCTTCATTAAGTTTCTGTCTTTATTCCAAAATGGCATATGGGATAGGGTCAATCTTTGCCAAATGAGCTATAATAAGTTTAAAGGCTGAGAGCGTACAGCTTGTGGCAAATTGAGCCTCCACCTAAGGTCTGTTGTTGGGTTTTCCACAAGACAATTTTTTCTTTTCAAAGGGGGCAGTTGCAGCCAGGTTGGCTTTATTGGGTAAACGTGGCCAAGAGGTCAGAGATGCCCCAAGCCCCAGGCTCTGTCCAGCAGGAATGTTCTCTCCGGCCTTCAAGTGGGCCAACCTGGAAAACCCATTGAGGCGCAGCATCCTTCTGTCCAGTCTGCACAGATGGAACAGGCCCCACAGCCCACCACCCTCCAGGCTGTAAGGACAGTGCTAGCAGGAGGTCACAGCTGTAGGGCCTGACATCTCCCTAAGCACATCCTCACCCAGCTCCACCAGCTGGCAGGGTGCCTTTTGTGAGTGGCTCCTGAGTCCCACTCTTGGCCAAATCTGGCATGACTCATTTGTTCCAGAAAAGGAATATAAATAAGCACCACCGTACCTTGACAAGTTGACAGGATTGACAAGCAGAGTAAATTCCTGTATCTGAGACTCTGAGGAGGAGAGGTGATTTAGCTGGCAGAGCCAGCTGCCATCACCAGAAGAAAATAATTAAGGAAACCCAGCAGCGTGGAGGGAAAACTGAGTGTGTAGCGGGTCCCTTCTGCTGAAGGGATCTGTGATGACTGGCTGCAGGAGGAAGCCCTCACATGCCAGAAAGAAATGGGCTCAAGAAGCTCATGCAGGGATGAGGCAGAGCTGGGGAGGGGTGGCCAGCAGGAAGGAAGGAAGCTCCGGGCTGGGAGGGGGGACCCTGGTGAGGGGCTCCATTCTAAGAGACTCCTGTCTCAGGCCAAGTACCCACTGCCTGCACTCCATACCCTGAGGGGGGCAGCCGGTTCTACATGGAGCTTCCCCTCAGTCTTCGTGGAAGAGTCTGGAAGGCTTGTTTCAGAGTTCCTCCATATGTACACACATATTGCCCGTAAGCTTGGGAATGCCCAGGAAGTTATGGACACTCTGTCCTCTGCCTCGAGAAAGGCACACCCCTGTTCCCAGCCCAAAGGGATCCAAGAAAAATATTGCAACAGAAGAAAGAGGCAACATGCCCAAGTTCCACCTTTGCTTCACTTTTGGAACTCGAAGAAGTTCCCAGGAAGCTCAGGGAACTTTAGCCTTTTCCAACCCAGGGCTGACCTCGCATCCTTACCTCCTCACTAGCTGGTGAGTGAAGGAGATGTATGGGCGCATCCTCAGACTGACCAGTATGAGGCCAGGGTCACAGCAACGGCTGAACCTGTAAAACTGGACCTCAATGAGAAATTGCCAGGGCCCCCTGGGTCAGGGAGTGGATGTCCTCTCACCAACTGTGTTCCAGCCACTGGACCTACACCAAGTACAGCAGGGGACAGGACCTACACCAGAGACAGCAGGGGACAGGCTGGGCCACCAGAACATCTCACATACACAGCCCAGGAACAGCCAGAACTTGGTCAGGTGTGCCCCGTCCTGCCAACTGGAAGTTCAAGCCTTCTCTTCTTTAAAGGGTAGCTGGTGCTGATTGTGACAGTGGCTTTCAACAAAGCCTCAGAGTAGAAGCAGCCACTTACAGGTACCAGAGCAGGAAGAGCCCCTGGTGCCTCAGGGGCCAGGCAGGGATGGGGGAAGGAGGTCAAAACTCCTAAATAGGTTCCCCCAAAGGAAATCGTCTTGTTTTACTAGGACCTCCCCCCAAGACCAACCAGAGTATGAAGCAGAATCCTCCCATCCGGCCGAAGGTTCACTTCCCAGAGCTTGTTATCCTGGGTGACTTCGGCCCCAGCCTAGCTAAAGGGCCTCCTTGCGGGGAAGAGGGAACATCGTGGAGTGTGGTCAGCAATGCACTGATCTGTCTCTGCCTCCCTCCAAGTGACAAGCGCTTGCCGGACAGTCACTCTGTGCCTGGGCTCTGCTTAGCCCTTTGCAGGAGACCAGGGTGAACAGGAGGTGGCCAGCTCATGCCAGAGTCCCAGGGCCAGCTGAGTTGGCCAAAATCTCAAAGTAGGTGCTTAGGTTAGGGGACTTCCCAGAGCAAGTAGGGAGACCCCAGTCCAAGGGAAGGAGTGTGTTCCACTCCCAGGCCTGTGCATGCAAAGGTGTGGGTGTGAGTGTGTCATATTCTGAGTACAGAAAGTCCACATTGCTTAGAGCAAGGGCTGAGCCAATGGGGCATAGAGAGAGGATGGACAGAGCTTTCCGAGGATCCTGTCCCCATGACTTAATGACAGTGAGGTTGAGCGGGGGTGAGGGGCGGTGCTGTGGGGTTCCTGGCTATTCAATGGAGCAGGTGGCCACCTTTCGAGACCTTCCTGGTCATCTCAGGAGGTGAGACACTGAGAAGCCATCATCAGCTCGGAAGCAGTGGGACCACATCTTGCTGCACTCCCATTTTCCATATGGCTAGGAGGGTGGAGGGGCACTCACACTGAGCCGTGCCTCCCTGAACTGAGCCCAACCCAAGTGCCCTCCAGCCCAGGGGCCCAACCATCAAGAGCCCATGAGCAGGTCCTCAGGAGCCACGTGGTTCTTCTGCCACTAATACTGTCCTCTCTGCTTTTCAGGAATAAAGTTCAGCATCAGGCCACAGCAGCCCTACAACGTGAGTTCTGAGAGTCAGATAAATCTCAGCACCGGCCGCCTGGGGAGAGTTGGGGAGGGCAAGGAAGAAACTGGAGCTGATGTCGAATCCATTCTTGGAAAGAAAAACATGCCCAGTCCTTCCCAGGAGCCTTGGGAACAAAGCCCAGGGCTTTGGACCCATGAATGTCCCCTTCCTGTTAGCTGGCGGCTTTGGACTTGTGCTAATAGAGGCGGTAAATCTGAGCCAGCCTCCTCAGGCTACCAGCTCCCTGCCCGGTCCCCGCGCCACGTGGAGGTTCCTGGGAGGCCTGCGCCATCTCGTGGCTCAAGAGACCCTTGCACCTCTGGCCTCAAGACCATGGCCGGCGAGGGGTGGGGGCCTTCAGCGACTGGACCTGGGCTCAGGCCAGAGGGGTCCCATCCCACAGGGTCAGCTGGACTCCTTCTCCCTCACCCGGAAGAAAATCTCAGGCCACAGAGGGGGCAGGGACCCCGGCCACAGTGAGGGCCTGACCTGTGTGACCCTCAGTGCCCCGCTGATAACTGCCCTGTCCCCCCTGATAACCATTTCTCTTCTTGCCCCAGGACCTCCCACCAGGCAGTTCCCAGGATGGTGACTTGAAGGCACCTACGGAGAGGGTCCCTGGACACTTGTCCAGCCAGGCCCCGAGGGGCTCCCGCCTGCTGGTGCCCGACCGGCCTCAAGCCCAGCTAAACGTAGGGTCCCGGCTCCGGCCCCGGCAGCGCCGCCGGCGGCTGCTTATTAAGAAAATGCCAGCTGCGGCCGCCATCCCAGCCAACGGCTCTGCTGGTGCCTTGGCGCGGCCCGCACCCTGGGCCCCTGACAGCCACTGGGTCACCCTGCACCACAGCCAGCAGGAGCGCAAGCGGGTGATGCGGGAGGCGTGTGCCAAGTACCGGGCCAGCAGCAGCCGCAGGGCGGTCACCCCCCGCCACGTGTCCCGCATCTTCGTGGAGGACCGTCACCGCGTGCTATACTGCGAGGTGCCCAAGGCGGGCTGCTCCAACTGGAAGCGGGTGCTCATGGTGCTGGCGGGGCTGGCCTCATCCACCGCCGACATCCAGCACAACACGGTGCACTACGGCAGCGCCCTGAAGCGGCTGGACACCTTCGACCGCCAGGGCATCCTTCACCGCCTCAGCACCTACACCAAGATGCTCTTCGTCCGCGAGCCCTTCGAGAGGCTGGTCTCCGCTTTCCGCGACAAATTTGAGCATCCCAATAGCTACTACCACCCTGTGTTTGGCAAGGCCATCCTGGCCCGGTACCGGGCCAACGCCTCCCGGGAGGCCCTGCGGACGGGCTCTGGCGTGCGCTTCCCCGAGTTCGTCCAGTACCTGCTGGATGTGCACCGGCCCGTGGGCATGGACATCCACTGGGACCACGTCAGCCGGCTCTGCAGCCCCTGCCTCATCGACTATGACTTCGTGGGCAAGTTCGAGAGCATGGAGGATGATGCCAACTTCTTCCTGAGCCTCATCCGGGCGCCGCGGAACCTGACCTTCCCCCAGTTCAAAGACCGGCACTCGCAGGAGGCGCGGACCACGGCACAGATCGCCCACCAGTACTTCACCCAGCTCTCGGCCCTGCAGCGGCAGCGCACCTACGACTTCTACTACATGGACTACCTGATGTTCAACTACTCCAAGCCCTTTGCGGACCTGTATTGATGGGCGGCGGGGGTGGGGGGGTGGGGGGGGCAGCTGGCCACGGGCAGCCCAGCCCCACGCGCCCGCACCTGTCCACAGGGGCTCTGGGGACAGGAGGAGCCGTGACTGCTCGGTGCCGCTGGCCCTAAGTGGGGGGCAGAGGCCTGGGCCTTGGATGGGGGCCTCTGGCCCTTGTCCCATCCCCACTTCCTCACTCCTCAGCTGAGGAAGATGCTGGGGGTTGAGCAGGACCCCAGGAGTCCCAGCTGCAGATACCCAGCTCAGCTAAGAGTCAGGATGACCAGGGAATTCTGAGGCCCAGAAGACGAGGGCCCCAGTGGTGAGGGACTTCCTGCGGTCCCTTCGCCATTGCCTTGTACCAAACCACATGGTTTGCAGCTTTTCTATGACCCAGCGGGGGAGGTTCCCTCGGAAGGAGGTTCCAAATAAAGCACATGGTTTCCAGAGTAGCAGTGTCTACCCTTTGTGTTGGAATGGGAACACATGGGCCCTTCCCTGTGCTGTGGGGGCTCTTTCTCCCTCCCCAGGATGGCCTAGCCAGGCCTCTGCAGGTCCGGCTGCAGGAAGGGGGGGGGCGGCCTATGTGGGAGGGGGAGCGGAGGACCTGGAGGCTGCAGCAGCCCTGGCTCGGGCTCCTGGGGCCAGCACTCAGTCACCTGGGGCCTCTGGTCTCAGTACTGGCCCATTTATCCCGAAAGGAGAAGCTCGACCTGTCCCTGTGGAGGCTCAATGGGGTCCCTTCCTCTTAGTCACTTTGCCAGGGGCCCTCTGAGCACCCGCCAGAGCTCCTTGGGCAAGCTGCCATGTGGGGATCCATGGGGCACAGCACAGGGTTCTCAGTGGGTGTGGCATTTCCAGGTGGGGAGTAATGCTCTCCCTCTCTCTCAGCATGGCGTTCTCTCGAAGCTGTCATCAGCAGACCCCCACCCCTGGCCTTGAGCCCTGGCTCCATTCAGCTGACGAGACCACCTTAAAGCTTTCAGGACTGCCCACCCTTGGGGGAGGAGGAAGAGAAGCCCATAGGGGGAACCTCTCCAACAGTGTACCTTTTCCCATGCAGTAATGGCTCTGAAATTGTCCAAAGTCAGTGTGGTTCTGTGAAACGTCCCAGAGACAGTGTGTTGGAGCTTTGAGTGTGGCTGAGGCAGTCAGTATGTCGGGTCTCATTTGTAATGGAAAGTGCTGCCTGTTTCTAAAGGTCTGTCTGTCTGCCTTCTTTCAGGCCTCCTCTCTCCACCAGCCTGTGTCTGCTGCATGCCCTTCTGTATCTTTCTGTGGGCCCCTCTGCGGATCTCCCCAGGAGATTGCTCTCAGTCTGTCCCCACGTGTTGGGGGAGGTGCTGCTGGGCCCTAGGCAGAGACCCTGCTAGTCCCAGGGTGGCCATGCTGCTGGCTCCCAGCCAGCCTCATGCTGGCGTGTGTGCCGCTCCATTGCCCTTTCTGCCTCTGCCATGGGCTCCGGAAACGTATGAAGGTGGGACAACGAACGGAGGCCACCTCCCACCTGCTTGGGGTCACGGGTGTCCAGGAACCACGAGCAGGGTGAGGGTCCCCCCTTCCCTGGGTTCCAGCTGGAGTGGCCTGGCCATCTGGCAGGAGGGAGCTCCGAGGGGCGGGAAGGAGGCTGTGGTCAGGGCCCGAGGGGCTCTTGGGTGTGGATGCTCTGAGGCCAGGTCCATGTGAGAGGAGGCAGGGAGGGGCCCAGCCCAGGAACGGGTGCGCCTGGGCTGCAGTGCTCGCAGAGTGAGAGGGAAGCCTCCATGCACAACTAGTGTCTCTGGTCAGGGATGCATCTGGGGAAGCCTGAGGCTGGGTGTCACCATGTCATCCCATCAGCCAGGGGGACACCTGGAAGCCCAGCTTAGGCAGCCTGTGGGGCCCCTTCACCCACTGCTGCTGCTTGGAGACAATTTGGATTGCCATGGGACCACCCTCCCACCACATGCGTGCATGCGTGGGTGTGCGTGTGCCTGGGTGTGCGCGTGTGCATGTGAGTGTGCGCACGTGCGTGTGTGTGAGTGCATGTGCATGTGTGTCTGTGTGCGTGTGCACGTGAGTGCACGTGTGCCTGTGTGCGCACGTGCGTGTGTGTCTGTGCGCGTGTGCACGTGAGTGCACGTGTGCCTGTGTGTGCACGTGCGTGTGAGTGCATGTGCATGTGCGTGTGCCTGGGTGTGCGCGTGTGCATGTGAGTGTGTGCACGTGCGTGTGTGTGAGTGCATGTGCACGTGTGTCTGTGCGCGTGTGCACGTGAGTGCACGTGTGCGTGTGTGTGCGTGTGAGTGGTAGCTGTCTGTCTGCTGAGTGCCGGTGTCCGGCGTGAAGGTGGTATGTACCGTGCGTGAGCAGGTGTACGTGCCGGGGAGGGGGGTACCGCAGACAGTCCTTCCTCTCTGGAACCATCTTGTGCTTCTCCGTCCCTGACGATCTCTGCCCCTTTTCATCTGCTCACCATTTTGTGGGTATAGTCTAGAGCGCCCCAGGCTCTTCCCAGGGGTCAAGCACGCCCGTGAAGTTGGGGAAATAACCCCAATCCCCAGTGCCCTTCCCCAGCTGCGTCCTCCAAATGGGGGCCTCTCTGGGGCAGCCCACAGTGAAGTCCCTGCCAGGCCTTCTCACCCCCCAAATCTGGGGTTTCCACTGGGCCTATGAACCCCAGAAGCCCTGCAGTGCCCGGGGGAGGTGAGATGTCAAGTCCAGCCTGGTGGTTTCTGGCCTCAGACACATGGCCAAACCCCCCCTCTCCCTTGTCCCGCTGGCCACACACACAGGGGCCCAGGACAGATGTGGTCAGGCCCTAGACCGAGAGACAGGCTTCCAGCTCCCACTTCCCCTCCCAGGCAGGGCCCATTTGCCAGCTTCATCCTCCAGGTTGAGCCCGTTGGTGGGGTTGGGAGTCCCAGGAGAACCCCGAGACCAGGAGGTGGTCTGCTCTCACTGCCCCCATCTCTTCCCGGGCCTTTCCTCTCTGGGGAACAGCCATGGCTGATCAAGGGGATTGCCTCCTGGCATCTCCCCACCACCCCACCCAGAGCTGGGCACTGGGGGCTCAGGAAGACTTCGGGCCCCAGGATGGAGCAGGTTGTCTCCAGGAGCTGGGGGCAGGTAGTCTGGGGCTGAACAGGGCCCATCTCTGGGGACCCACGCTGATGATACAATGATGCTTCATGAAGAATAAACAGGTACCCTGGGGTAGCCTGAGAGGAGCCTCACCTGGTAGGGGAGAGGATACAGTGTTAGCCCGGGCTGCTCCTGCCGCAGGGCTGGGGGGTTGAAGGAAGAGGCAGGGGGAGGGGAGGAGAGCATGGGAGAGCCCTGAGCTCTGGTCCATCCTGTCGGCCTGGCCTGGCTTGGAGGTGAGGCTGGTGCTGTACCCTGACTTCATGCTGCTCAGAAGGGTAGTCTCAGCTATGAGGTGGCAGCAGACAGTATCCAGGAGTCTGGCTGGGCTGGGACCACTTGGGAACGGATGCTCCTGGCCCCTCCCTCGCCTCTGCGCCTGCCTCCTGAAGGGAAGGGGGAGAGAGTAGGCTGTAGGGCTGCTTCCCAAAGCACATGAAACCTAGGGCAAGTGGCAAGGGTCAGGGGTCAGAGGTCAGAAGTGAGTAGTTCCAAACCGTGGGGCCTAGGGTCTGCCAGCCTGAATCAAGCGCCATGGTGGGCCACGCTGTGCTGGCCTCCCCAGTAAATGCCTGATAGACCCCTCCCAGCAGCGCTGACCGTGTGCCTCGCCCTACAGGTGAGGAGACTGAAGCACAGAGCTGCACAGCGACAGCACCTGGAGCTGGGATCGCCCGCCCCCCGCCCCGGGCAGTGGGGCTGGGACCCCTCCCTATGTGCCGTCTCCGCCCCGCCCCCTCCACATCTGTGTGGCGCTGGGCGGGCGCTGGGCGGGCCTGGAGGGCGCTGGGCGGGCGCCGGGCGGGCGCCGGGCGGGGGCCGGTCTCCGCTGGCAAGGGCGGCACTCGGCCACCAGGGGGCGCCAAGTCCTCGCTCTTGAGCAGGGCCCGGGCTTTCCCCAGCCGGCCCACGAGGTGGCAGTAACACTCCGAGTGTGCAGCTGCAGGCGGGGTGGCGGATTCCTCCAGCCCCACGGGAGACCGGGTCCCCAGCCTGGCCCCCGGAGTCAGCCGGTCTTCTGCCCTTTCTCCCTCCGTGGAGTCATGGGGGTCCTGCATCTCCAGATATCTCTAGGCAGACCCAAAAGTCATTCTCAATATGCCAGCTCCAAAGGACCCACCTGCCCTAACTCCAAGCAGGAAAACAGGCCGAGTCCCCACCCCCAGCCCACCCCACTCCCCCGCCTCCTCACGTGGGCCTAATGGGGCAGGAAGGTCCCAGGATTGTCGCCAAAGTGCGGACACAGGGAGGACACAGAGCGTGGGAGGGCCCCGTGTCCACCACCCCTGCTGGTTCCGCTCCTGGTTTTGGCGGCAGGCTTAGATTTGCTGGAGGATCCTGACCTGCCTGCCGACCTTGAACACTGCTCTGTCTCATTTCCCTGGCAAACCCCAAGCCAGCCAAGCCCCCATCCCCCACTGCAGGAGGAAATGATCACAAACTTCACAGGGCCATTAACTACCTGCTGTGTCTGTCCCCCGTTCCCCGTGAGGGTGACCTCGGGCCTTCTATGACCTCAACACGCATGTACATGACATACTTATGCAGACGTGCTCCCCCGCACAGACCCACACAGACCCAGCCTCACGAATACACACCCAGACACAGATGCAAACACACATGCAGATACACACATGTGCTTGGCACGCACACCTGCAGGCAAACACAGACCCGGATGCACAGGGACACAGACACACATCCACACACAGGCAGACACACACAGCTAATGGAGTGCCTCTCCCTGTGGCGAGGTCGACCGGAAGGAGCAGAAAGGCTCTTGCTGTCTTCCATCATATTTATTTCTGCTCCTTCTTTTTTAAGATTTTATTTATTTATTTGAGAGAGAGAGAGAGAGAGCCAAGCAGGGGGAGCAGCAGAGG